AAGAGCCTCTCTGCTTATCCATTCTTTAAAACTACTAAGTGCTACGTGCTCTGATACAATCCCCTATATTTTTTCTACCATATGCACCTACTTAAGTTGATGTTTTCCATAAATTTGTAAATTTATGGAAATTTTCCCACATTTGTACTGCTGCTTTCTGAGAACAACTGCTGTAGCAATATCATTTCTCTGCCAGTAATGATTCCAAAGGGAGTATGCTATTTTGCATTGGAACCAGTAGCTGGAAATAGCTATAAAAATTGAGGAAATAAGGCTGTTCCTGATGCATTCCTAAAATATCTATTTTAATAGATCTCCCTGGTCTTTCCACCTGTACACAAGTCCTCGTTTTTAGCAGGCAATTTTATGTGCCTTTTCCTTCAAACAAAATGTTAGATTTTAAGCCCCCACCACACACACCTCAGACATTTTCCTGCAAATGTCTAGCTGGTTTTCTCAGGCTGCTACAGAAAGAAAAATTTCCTGTAAGTATCGAGAGTTAGAATATACTACCAATACAGGGATGATATTTTATTCTTCTCTGTGCTGTTAAATCCTCCTTAGCACACCTAGTGAGAAAAGATGGGGGGTGTTGGTTTTTTTTTTTTTTTTTTTGAGTGTTCTGCTAACAGACTGTGAACCAAAACAGCCTGAGAGTAAATAGGATGATACTGCAGACACACCACTAAATACTAAATATTTAGTGATTCCAATGCTAAGTGAGCTGGCTTTTGCAATGCAGCATTCAGTAACTTACTCTTGACAGAATCAACACTAAGTTGTTTATATGATAGCAGATTGGAGCAAAAAGGAGGAAAAAAGAAAAAAAAAACAAGAAAAACAAAAAAATCTGTGCATTTCTAGGTAACACCTGCCTTGTCCAGTGATCAAGCGACTTGCAGCTAAAACTAATCAATTTGAAACAGTGCTCTAGTACAGCTATACACTAAAAAAAACCAACAATTTTTGTTGGAACGGAGCAATCCACAGCAGGAAGACAGTTTTGCTGTGTTTAATTTGTAGATGCCAGCAGCCACATGTGATGCCAGATCTGGCAGGGTAGAGAAGTGCCTCTCAACAGTTATTTTTCTAGGTTTTCATTTCTATTACGTAGTGACCAGTGAATCCTTGGAAGACACACCCATGTCTGCTGCAGTTATAAAGGACTTAGTTGCTGGCCAGCCACATTGCCTGGAAGGCTACCAGCACATACTTTGAAGGAAGCACATCCAGAGACCACAAGTCATGCAAAAGCTAGAAACAGAGCTTCTGAATTAGAGTCCTATGCACCTTTCAGAGACTGCTCACACAGCTAGAAGGTACTACAAAAAGAGAAACAGGCCTGACACCTAGTGGATAGACCCTATGGAAACAAGCTCAAATCCAGCACTAAGACCCTGAACACACTCCTTGGTTTGTTCACATCACAAGGAAGAAAGTTATCTAAGGTTTATCCCAATGTAAAGGTATTAGTCAGTAGCCTCAATTAAAAATAAAATTGCTAACACATGTTTAGCCAACCAGCCATTATCCTACTACTCTAAAACACTCTTCAAGAAAGCACCCCACCTTTTGAAGAATGAATTATATTTGCACAATAAGTACAATTTAAAAAATAACATCAGAGAGTAGGTCACAAGCACACAACACCAACCCTGAACAGCACTTTCACTCTCCTGTCCACCCCAGGAGACTACCTGAATTAAATTGCTGCTTGAAAATTAACTATGGCTATTTACACATCCCCTCAAATAAAATAAATACTTTTATAATGTGACAAAATGTTTACCTCCACCATTCACACAGATATGCGTATGTACCTTTCTCTCTGAGGCTCTAATTGCAAACACACTGAGCAGCCCTCCAGCACACTTCAGCTCCTTCACACCAGACTGCAGACCAACCTGTGAAAGACCTTGGAAGCTGCTTATATAGGGTTCTCAGCTCTAGTCCAAGGCTATTGGGTAATTGCCCTCATTGGCAACACCTGTGGGAGAGTCAACAAGGCACAGCTGGATTTCTAGGACAAAGCCTTTAAGCCCTGATTTGCATAGTCTGGAGCTGAATTCTAAACAAATATTCTAGATCTTTTCTTTTTTTTTCTTTTCTTTTTTTTTTTCATATAGTATATGACCACAAGTCACTAATATTTTGCAGTATTTTCCTTGGTATTTCTTAAAACAATAACAACTTAAGAAAATGTCTTTTCTAGACTTCCTGTACACTGGCAGAGAAAAGAACTGCTTATATGTTCTGTGTCTCCACCTCTGCCTCTCATGCCTGTATCTTTCTTCTCTCAGCAACTGGATTTGTACTTTTCAAAGGGCTTTAAAAATCCTGAATCCAGAGAATTGGCCGGCCCTATTATCACTCTGTTCTCATAGATTGCTAAAACTAGGCCCTCTGAAACATTTGAAGTGTTGAAATAAGCTAAAAAGTAACCAGCTCCTAAGGGAAATATACAAAATGTCTGTTTCAGCACACCTGCTAGCTTAGGAACCTCTTTAGAAGCGTACATTTTTCACCACTTTGTTACAAAGCGAATCAATGTAGTTTCTTTGCTAAGTGAGAAGCTGAAAGTGTTCTGGAGGATCTAACCACCGTATGTTATATATTGTTTTACTGTTTCTACCTACATTTCTTGTTATTCTTGTTGTTATTAATCTCTATTTTAAGGAGAGTTAACCTTCAGTCAAAAGGAATATTGGATGAGGAGACTCAGTAATGGTTAGGAACTCAGAGGATGTCATCTATGCTAAGGGAAACAGAAAATGGACTCCAAGTCTGCATCATTAGGGTCTATGCAACTGTTACAAAAGAGAAACACCTTCAATACATTTTTTTTTCCTCAGCTTTTGATACAATAAAATTACTCTCCTGATATTTCTGTATTTCAAAAAAGTCTTTCTAGATATTCATGAGATGGCACATTAGTCAACTCGAAAACTCTTAACAAGTCAGCAGGATCCAGAGGAATCAAGAAAGACTTGGTTAATGAAAGTCCGAGTCAGGGGAAAAAATACAGGCAAAGTAGGAAACATGGGAAGCAAAGCAGGTGAAAACTACATACTAGTAGAAGAAAATGTTGCTTTTTGTAATCATGCCTCCATACAAAGACAGTGGCAAAAGCTTTACTTACATACAAGAATGCAGAAATTAAACATTCTTTAATTCAATGGTTCTTTGCTTCCATGTTCTGAAACAGAAAATATTAGTCTCAATTTAATACATGCGTTTTTGTTTCTGTTAGAAAATCAGTACAATGTTTCCAAAAGCTCATTACATGGAAAACTCCGAATTTTTCTTCTAAAAGAACCAAAACGCTGCTTGCATGAGCTAATTGAGCTAAAACAAAACCCCTAAGAAACTTTCTATACTTTTCAATTCTCAAAAAACCTTTTGCACGCTTTTTTTTTCTTTGCTTTTTTTTTTAAGCAATCTTCTGACTACTAACCTATAGAGTTCAACAGCAAAAACACCTTATAAAATCTAAAAATGCAGGTGGCCCACGTTAGCACTTAAATAGTGGGAAGGGAAGAAAGCTCCTCCCTATCTTGCACAGGTGTTTGTGGGCTCAACCCCACTCTTTAGGTATTTAATCGCTTCTTCAGTAGTGGGGTGTTTTCTTAGAGGAAGGAAAGCTGCTAGAGGTGAGTTTTTTGGGTTTTTTTTTTTTGTAGGTGGGTGCTTTGTTTTTTTTTTTTTTTTTTTTGAATGTGTGGGTTTTTGTTGTTTGTGTATATTTGTGTAAATTTAAGTTATTTTCTTGGTTATTTAAATTGTTTGGGAGGTAAGCTCTTTTGTGTAAGGAGTTGTAGCATTTTCTTTTGCAAGGTGAGTTCGGTCCTGTGAAATACTGACTATATTGGTTATTTCTCTAGGCAGCAGTAGATGGTAGTGTTGTCTTCTGACTGAGATGTTTTAGAAACTTGAGCTCTTTTTTGTGTCTTTTTATAGCTGTGGTGAGCTTTATTGAGGTGGGTTGTTGGGGGCAGGCTGAATTGGGTGTCAAGGCTCTATTATGTATTAAAGCTGTTTTAGCACACTTAAGTTTGGTGTCTTAATGAAAGTTGCTTTTTACAGGTAAGGTGCTGTTAAGCTTTTTAAGTTTATGGAAGGTTATTTTTGTTTGGTGTTAGTGTGGTAGGTAAGAGGAATGAGGATTTGTTTTATTGATTTAGTTTTCAGTGTTTTTATAATAAAAACTGAAAACAGCATTACTATTAATTTGGGAAGTTAGTGGATGAGAATTAATTTGAAGGAAGAAAAATATTTCTGTTTGTGAGGTTTAAGAGTAGAGAGACACTAGGGTGTAATGTGTTAATGGAGCCAAAAAGAAAAGTAGTTAATTAAGTTGTATCTGCATTATCACTCTTGAGTGTGTTCAAAGGAGTTAAGATGTGTGATTGGCCTTGAAGGGAGCAGTTGATTTTCTTGAGTCAGATTTTTGCACCAAGTAGGATTTGCTGGTAGGACAGATGAAATATTTTATTAAGCATTGGTTTGGTCTTTTAAGTTGTTACCCATCTGTTATGGGAGCATAATCCTGCAAGGAGTGATTGTAAACACTTGACCAGGTTTTTTAGTAATTTCAGGTTCTTAGTTTTTTATTTTCACTTAGAGTTATTTTTTTCATTTCTTGCACTTTTAATTTTTATAGTTCTGATGCAGAAAAGGAATTATTTCACTCTTTGCAATGTAGAAGTAAAACTAACTGTATCTTTTCTAGGTGCAGGAAGAGTTTGCTTGCCCTGCTTCAGTTCAGAGTATACATTTAGAAATATGTTCAAATCCTCTGTATATACAATGCTGTGTATGCACAAACCTTTGGCATATTTTTAGGGTATACATTACAGTATAGTAGCTTCAATATTTCTCATCTGAGAGATCTATTTATAGGAAGGGGAGGAGAGGTAAGAAACAAGTATTTCATTTACTTGAAGGATTGTTTCTGTTTTGCAGAAACTTCTAAAGTGAGGTTGAGAAAACAGTTGATGCATGTTTCTTCTTCCTAAAAGAAATCAATATAAGGTAAGATAAGATTTTTTTTAATCTAGTTAAAGCTACTGTACTTGTTTTTGAGTTCTTGACAATCATCTATGAATGCTGTTATGTGCTGTTAAGTGAAGTGTATCAGAGGTAGTCACTTACTTTGCTACCCCTAGCAGAGCTTGGGACCCAGCTCCCAGTAGAATTCATGTGAATTAGAACTGCGTAAAGCCAGATTGGTGCCTGCTTGTTCTAGTTAACCCGATTCCAATAATGAAGTTGTAGGGGCAAGACTGGAACTTGGCTTGACACAGGGAGCATACCTTTTCTCTGTGGTTGGTAGCTCAGTTCCCTGCATTCTGGAAGCTGTGGGGAAAATATGTGCTAGTAGAATTTAGTCCAGCTGAATATGCTTGCTTCTGGGAGCCTACTTTTTCCAAGGAGATACTAGAGTCAAACTTAGGACATGGTATACTGTAGAGATGGCCCCCAGAGACAGTGAACCTTGTTCTAGAACTGTCACTGTTCTGTGCCTTTCAGGGTCAGTCAACAGTGTTGCAGGGCCAAGGACCTACAAATAGTCCACTGTTTTACTTATGCCCTGTCTGGCAAGTTTTCTTCTGAAGCCTTTGTTTTCTCCTTCTTGTAAATCCTGTAGGGTTTAACTTGTATCTACTGATCCTTTTGACAGTAATGGACTATTAACTAACTAGACATAAAATTGAAAGTGTAAATCCCTCTCCCTTGGGGAATTAGAAAGCAGGTTTAGGATGCAGGCCATGAAATGTGAGAGTGCATTGTAATCATGAATAAGGCCTGATTAACTCTTCCTGCCTGGCATTCCCTCATCTGTGTCAGCTGATGAACAAAGGAAGGGGGGGAATCTAAGGTGGGTGCAGTAGAACTATGTGTATCTGCCAGGCCAGTGTTTTCAGTCTCAGTATTCAAGCTTTTTTTATCCTGTTTTCAGGATCTTCCATGCAAGATACTGGGGCCATCTAGGCTGGTAATTAATTCCCTTCAGGAACAAATGTCTCTAAAGACTAGCTCAGTTGTGGGGGGGTGGGGGTGGGTGGGTGGAGATGGCAGGGTTGGATGGCAAGAACTCTGGATGTATTTTTTGTCAGGATGAGGGCAAACAGTCTAAAGTGTTTGCATCCTAGGGGGGCAGTCTTGCATGCTTGCAAGTGGGAAGAGGGTGAGGTGATGCAGGTGTAGCAGTTTTGAAGACTCATCTGCACTGACTAAAGAAGTGCTTGGTTTGGAGCCCCTAGCAATGTGGCATGGTGCCATGTGTGTCTGGGAGAGAGTTTGCTGATGCTTGTGTCTTAGACTTAGAGAGGAGTGCCTGCAGGTTTTAAGAAGTAATTACCTTTCTGTTTCAGGAGTGACTTTACCTTCAAGGTCTACAAGGCACTTAAGACTCTTTCTTAGGTAGAAGTTTTCATTTAATTGCACCAAGCCCTCATTAGAGCCAGGTCAAGTAGGGCATAATGGGGATGAGTCCAGAGACCCAGCTGGACTTTACTTGCATTGCGTGGAGTGGCGCCCTTCTCAAGAGTCAATCACTCTCTCAGAAGAGAGGAGATCAGATTCAAAGTGTATCTAACTGCCCAGTAGTTAAATCTTCAAGGCAGTCTGAATACAATCTGGAAATTGTATGAATTTGTGTGGAAACTTGTCTGAGTTCTGGGTGTTGTTCAAAATGAGAGTGTTGTCAGAGAAGGAGGCTTTCCTTAGTGGCTTTTTTTGCCAGGCTGTGGATGCAGTTGTTAGAAGAATTGAGCACTTGAAATAGTTATTTTGGAGCTTTTTGATTTCTGAGTTTGTGCTGTGTTCCCTGTTCTTCAGGTGTTGCAGTCACTGTGTTGGAGGCTAGCTTTTTTCCCAAACACAAGTTTCTGCTGTAATTGGTTAATTTTAGTGGCTGGGCCTCAGGAGTGTGATAATGACAGAGGAACTGGAGGAAGGCTACCAAGGTGCTGTTGAGTATTTGTGTAGCTTCCCTTAGTGCTGCCTCTGAGGTTCTTCTGTGGTGTCAGGAGCTGCAGGCATTATCCTTCTGGGAAACACACTGATGCTAGGAAGGCTGATGTTGCAGCATTTCTGGTGGGCAGGGTGCTTGTAATCAATGTATTGAAAGTTAGTGTTAGACTGAAGGTAGGGAGGCTTAGCTGACCTGTCCTTGTGAAAAAGCAGAACTTATCTCCATGCATTCAATTGGGAATGCTGTTTTCAGATCAGACTTGAAAGAGTACAAAACTGCTTTGAAACGCATGAGGCAACTTCTCTTCTGTTGTGTTTGTTAGATTTACTTCTGGGAGATGTATGGAAACAAGAACTCTACTGCTTGTGATAATTGCAGAATGGTCTGCCACAAACTCCTAAAAGTAAAAGCACAGAATACAAAGCCGGTCTGGCCTGATTCCCTCTGTGTGTGAGTTCTAGAAAAGCCATGAGTGTTGGACCTTCTGCTGAAGGAGAGGGATAGAAGCATATGAGCTTGGTGTGTGTTGGGTAGAAAGGTCAAAGTAAATGCTTGTCTCTGGCCTTAAGCTCTCTGACATGCTTATGGTAACTGATGGGTGGCTGCTAGCTGCTTCAGCCTGTCTGGCTGCGTGTGTGCGTGCCTACATTTGTCACACGTGTTACTGGCTGCCTGTGACTGTGCTCATGCAACATTGTTGGGTTGTGTGTTGGGGCCAGTGTTCATCATGTCAGCAGCCCAAGAGCAACTTGAAAAAGTGTCTGGTATTCATCACCCATGGCAGGAGCTTTTGTCCATAATAACAATGTTCTCCCCCTCTATTGTAGTGCTTTCCCCCCTCCTTTCTTTCTTTGTTATTATTAAGAAGCTTAATGCTATATGTCTTGCTGTTTCATAAATAACCCCTGTAATCAAACATCACTGGGTAAATGGGCAGTCCAGCTTGTGCAATTTGTTTGACAAAATGAGTCCAGAAGAATGAGACTGTGGAGGAAAGACAAATAGAGCAGCTTGGATAAATGTGTTAACCAAGAGACAAACAACTTGGCAGGATGGCTGGTGCTATATTTATCCATGCAAATGAAGTCTGGGGCAATTTAGTAATAGTGTAGGGCTTGCCAGAATGGTCAGTCTCTCTGGAAGGACAGCAAGCATTTCACCCTTGCTGGAATCAAGTTTTCCAGGGAGGGGTAAATATTTCTGTGCTGTAGTGAGGGAGCCAGTGTTGAGAGGCTGAAATGGCCCTATCCGTGGCTGATATGCACAGTTGTTACCTCAGCATCAAGTATTACAAGAAATCATAATCTGAAGTAGTGCTGGCCTTTTTCTAGATGGTGGGGAGAGCTGAAGTTAGATGCTCCTGGTAAGAGCTGAGTCTAGTGAAGCTGTTCAGCAGGAGGACTGCTTGTAGCCAATGAGGGAATGGGGAGAAAGCAGCCTGAAGCTTGCTCAAACTTCAGGCCAGACTGGTTCAGCTGCACATGCTTTGAGCCTGCTTAGGGAAACACTCAAGAGCTATTTACTAGAGTTGGAAGCATCTTGAGCAAGCCCTGGCCTGTTTTTCCAGGCATGCAGTTCATGTTGCTTCAGTAGCATCAGCCCCAGGATGTACTGCAGGTTATCTGCATGCTGAGTGAGTCCTTTGGAAAGAAATCTTTGCCTAAACAAGTCCAAGGAGCCTGAGCATGTGCACACACCTGAAATGCCAGAAGAGAGGTAGTGTTGGGGCATCACCCAGGTGCAGGAACGAAGGACAGAGTGTCCCTGGGCTGTTGGGCCTGGAAGCTGTCCAGGGAGAGCCTGCAGATCTCCAATCCAATGTGTGGGTGAGCTGGTTGCTGGCTAGGAGTGACCCTTGTAACCTCACAACAGTATGAGAGCTGGAGCTGCAGCCCTGTGTAGGGGACGTGCCTCTCCCTGGGCTGTGCTAGTTCTGCCTTAGAGGTAGTGTGGTTGTGTCATGTTCAGGCCATGCACAGTTGTCCTTTTCCTACAAGTACTGGCTAGGTGGGCTTTTTCTGCAGCTTTCTGTGGTGCTTGTTACTGCAAGGGTAAAGTGGTGGGTTAGACTTTCCTGGTGTGCTGTTGCAATGCAATCCAGGTGATGGTGCTTTCTGGTATCCAGAGTGCAGCTACTGCTTTTATTTCCTTCTAGTCACAAGGGTTTTCTCAGTAAAGATGGGAATAAATAGCAAGCTAAGTGTAATACAGTAAAATCCTTTCATCTGGCAATTTGTCCAATGTCTTTCAGCAAGGAACTGAACAGCAATGCAGCAGTAGCCCTGGGGTGTGCAGGACTTTGTATGTTAGGACATGTGTGTTTTCGTACAATTGCATTGCTACCACCAGGGCTGCAGCAGCAAAATGTGGCTAGGCATTGAACAGGCTTCCTGGGGCAGGGAAAAGGGGGGTTTGCTTTTAGGCTGTAAGCTCTAAGGTTGTGTCTTCCAGATGAAATCCAAGTCAGAAGCTTAGAGACCATATTTTCTTGGGGAGTGGGAAGATGATGCAGCCTAGAGGGAAAACATCTTGTATTGCAACAGTTTACTGTCTCTTTTTAACTACAAGATTGCAATGTAATATCTGGGTGCTCTAGGATATACATAGGAGAAGAGGTCAAGAGCTGTATTTCACATGCATGTCAAATAACTCAGCTAATGGTTTCTGTGTCTTGCATTCTACTATCTAGCTACTTGACTGTGTCAGTTGAAGAGCTGAGCTATAAATGGGTATTTGTACACTTAGGTAAGATATGGGTTGAGGGATATAGTTTTTGTGCAACTTTTCTACCTTTACAGCACAGTAGCCAACTGGGCTTGCAGTGCTGCCCTACAGGTATGAAACGAAGCCTGTGGGATGACCTGTACACAGGGATGTGGAGCAGGAAAAAACAGTTGTTGCTCATGCAGATACTGGGCTCTAAGCTATGTGCCAGAGGGAAAAACTAACAAAGCTGCAGTGCAGGATGTTCATGTGCAGGATTGCACATCCACTGGGAGGGAAGTTGCCTCATTAGCTGAGGAAATACCTTTCTCTCCTGTCTGCTTTCCATCCT